CACCTGGGTATGACTCGGCATTATGGTGATTCCAGAAAGACAACAAGTCGGGCCTGCTGAGCAAGTCTGAGATAAAAGTCCCCTATCAAGAAAACCGCAGAGACAGAAAATTACGCTCAAGCAAAACAATGACATTCACAAACAGACAAGCAGTTTGTCTGTCAATCTGGTTGACAGACAAACAACTAACAAAAGCAGCTGCTCATCTTCAATTATAAAGCTGGGAGTAAAAGATGGTTTTAGGTAAAGTTACTATAATTCAAACTGAAAACCTTCCCTTTAGAGAAATGAGGCATGTAAGTTTGCAGATTTCCAAGAGACGATATGTATGTACAGTAAGTCCGTCTGGCAGTGAAAATAGGATCCTCCCACATATTTCCACTATCTTTCAAGGCAGTTTCTGTCATCGTGCATACGTATACCTGTAGAGTCATCTGGACTGCAGATGGAGATACCGAATGGGAAAAGGTGGAGCCTTGGCATTTTCAAGAGGCATGCACAAATGTGAAGGCACTTCAGGAAATCGATCATTTGAGCTGGGTTTATGCTCACCAGCCAACGCGGGACAGTAGAGCTCTGGGACCGGAACATGACAGTAAGAATAAAACCAAATTTATCTTTATGCTGGATGAGTGAGTTTAACTTATGTTCCTGAAAATGAGACAAATGGAAAAAGGAAGTGTTTATTTTTGTTTTCCAGCAGTTTGAATGTGTTACACCTTGAGTTATTTGGGATATACATTTTACAAAGTCAGTAGTGGAGTTGCACAAGTTGGGAAAGACTTCCGAAACCATGCAGAATGTTCAATGTTAGAGTAGAAAGTGCTACATTAAAGCAGGTGGGTTGATTGAGAGCAAACATCTGTCCAATGTGGGATGTGAAATAAAAAAAGAGTCAATTTACTTCTGTAGCTTGTTTCAAAGTGAAAGCAATTGCAATTAAAACATAATGGGTAAAAAAAACCTAACTCCTGGCTTGAGATTCAACCCTGCAGAGAGTTATATGAGAGCTGCATATTTCCTTTAAGGTTTCCCGTACGGAAGGCTACGACATGCTTGCTGAAAGTGGATTCCTGGTTAATTACTGTAACAAACCTGTTTGAGCCTCACTCTTTTGTTATACGTTACATCATCCTAGATTTTCTTTAAACAAAGCACAGCAAAAATAAAACTGATGCTTCTTGGGGGGAAAAAAACGGGATTAGAAACAATGTCAGTACTACTAATGTGTAGAGAAAACCTGCAATATGTCCTGTTACAGGAATCTGTAAGACTGGATTCCAGAAACAAGTAAACATAATATCCAACAGTGCTGTGGAATTAAAACAACAACAACAAGGCATGTGCCATGCAATCAGATCATTTTTCAGAAAATATCTTTCATAAATTATCCAATAATATTTTCAAAAAGCACACATTGCGTTTTAGGCAGCACTTTAAACCAAAACAACTTTACAATAAAAATACTTTTAGTGAAAATGTGTTAAGGGATACAGCTTTACTCTCTGTCGCCTAAAAACGCAGCTGAAGTAAAAACAAGGTCATTTGTGACAATTTATAGCTGCTGGTTTTATTTTTTTCATTGTTTTGATTGTCACAGGTAAAGCTGGACAAATACAACTTTTTATCCTTTGACTCATTTTTGATGAACTTCAGGTGTCCTGCTCAACGCATCGCACAACAAAGAGAACTTTAGGTGGAATTGGCTAATCTCAGCATTTACACTTTGATTTAGTTTTAAAAGACAAACATTTAAAAATGCATCAATCAGAAACATCTAACTTGGTGTCTTATTAAATCTTAGTGCTGTGTTCAACACACATTCATTTGGTAGTAATAAATCTGAGCAAAACAAAATGATCCGCTGAGATATTTTCACACAATTGTTTTCCTATCAAAACAGGTGAAGGAAAACCGGCGGAAGCTTTTATTTAAGACTGGTTACATTATTGTAATTATAGTTTTTGGTCTTTGAGTCAGATCCAATTCATCCTAAATGAAGCTGCCAGGATTCTGACTAACAGCGGGAAATTGGACCGTCAGACCAGTTTTTTAATTTACTGCTTTGGCTTGACGTTTGTAAGATCTTGTAAAATTTTAGCGTTGTATTAATAATTAATTTTAAAAGTATCTTATCAGGTATAAACCATGTGAACAGCTGGCAACTTCTTGAAAACCTGAGATGTACAGAAACTCTTTATAAACCTTTATTTAACTGTTATTTTCATCATTGACATTTTAATATAATTTTGAATTTAACATATTTATTGTTTTACATGAATAAATACATTTATTTTCCCGCAAAGCTATTTCTAAGAGTGGTTCTGAACATATAAATATACCTTGCCTATTATAGGAAGCAGTTAAAAGAGGCAATTCTCACTCTGTGCAAACACAGATATGATCTTGTGCCACCAGAGGACCAAAGACTTAATGAATGATGAAAAAAAACAAGTGTTGTTGACATGTTTTGGACAAAGAATTCCAAAGATTGCTGAGGTTAACGTCACAAACTGCAAACGTTTTACAAGATGCTCACCTGAGATATCAGCAGACTCAGTAGACTTTTAGACAATAACAGCATCCTAATTCCTTTCAGGCTCCAGATGAAACCACTGGACCTGCAGTCCCACCTGCACTCCCACCTCGAATCTATCGCAGCAACTCCACTGACGTCCCTCACTCACAGGTGTGAAAGACAGTCTCTTTTCAAACGCTATGAATGCAACAAAAGGTGTAGAAATGCATGCTGGGTTTGTCTGGCTCCATATATAGGTTTCTGTATTTAGCACTTTAACTCAAATTCTGGTCAGCTATTTGACAAGTTTTATGTCAAATAGTTCTTTCTCATTTTGATTCAACCTAACAAGTTGTGATTAAAGTTTGTTTTTATGGGGCAAACCGAGATTATGACAAATTTACTGCAGGTTTATTATATTTTCTTGAGCTTATTATTAGTTATAACACAAACCTACAAATTTTAAAAATGAAAACAAAATTTTAAGAATTTTTTAAAAGTTAAAATAAGGCTGTGTAACATGCTTCACCCAGGCAAAACACCAAGTAATTTTTTTTTCAGTAAATTTCTAGAGTTGATTCTTGAGATACATTGGTTTCCAGAATCAGATAGTCAGCTGCAAAAAAGAGAAAAACCTTTTCAGCTAAAGTACTTTTCAAGTTATGAGTTTATGGTAAGGTAAAAATGGTAAAAATTGTTGAGACAGTCTTAAGCTTTACTGTCTTTAACGTTTCTCATTATTTATTCTTTAAAGCCACTAAAACCCCCAAGGAAAGCTAAGACCCAAGAGTCTACGAGCATAAGATCTGAAGCTATCTATGAAGACCCGGATGCATTACTGGTAAAAACAAACAAACAAACAAACAAACAAAAAAACTTTTTAATCTGATGGAACCTTAAAATGTTTAAAATGTGGAGAAATAGTAACTTAGACATGTTTCAATGATATTAACCCGTTTGTTTCAGACTTCTAACCCAGATGTGAGTCAGCCAGAGGCTAAACCAAGGCCTATACCTCGCCTCAGGAGCAAAGACAAACTAAATCTCCAACATGACACCAACAACACAACCAAAGGAAACTACATCAACACGATCAACTCAGGACACAGCGATAACACCGCCAGCACAGCCTACGTAACAAAAACAGCATACAATGCCAACACATCACAGACTTCCAACAGAGACAATACCACTTGTACGAGTAGCTCAACCTGCAGCACTAACACAACCTACGAGACTGGAACGACCACCAACGCTAATACAGCTTCCAAATCCCACAACTCCAGAAGACCCGGTTCAACCGTCTCTAGCACAGCCGACCCAACCTACAATGACGTCAGAACCGACAAGACCCACAACACCAACCCGGCTAAGTCTTCAAACAGAACAGGCAACACAAAGAACGATGCAGTAAGTGGAATATATTTGACTTTTTTCTGTTTCTCACGTTGCCTTGCTGATGCAAAAATGTTTGTGTGTCATTTCGTGACCAGAGTTACGAAAGAAGGAAGAACTCCGACGACTACATGACACCTCGCCCCACTCACCAGCCTCTCCTCCCACCTATACCACCCAAGACCAAAAGTGTAAAATCAACAGCAGCAAAAAGTCCAGAGATTTATAACCCAGGAGCTAATTCAAATACAAGTGCTAAGGTATGTATTACAGCAAATATATGCTTTAAACATATGCTTTCTTTTTTGTATCTTGTGTGTGTTTTAGAAATTTGGAAATTGGCTTACTTAGTATTTTTACTAAGAAACACCAATGCTCAACATCTACACCTGTTGGGTATTTCCCCAAAATTGCCATTATCATTTTGGTCAGATCACTCTCTCATAAGAAAATTCTGAAAAAGCTTCACCATCTGCTTGTTTCCTGAACGCAATAACCGTATTTTTAATTCCAGGGCAGAGACGAGAAAAGCGGACATAGAGCTTCACCTTCATCTCGACCTCTGCATCACAGCAGCTCAATGATGGACCTGTCAAGTATTGAGGTAAGACTTTCTACGTAAAGCAAATACTCAGTTTCCAGTAACTGGTCAAGTTTATCAATGCAGTTTTTATCTTCAAGGTTTTTTGCCCTTTTTAGTCAAATACCAGTAAGTATTTTTGCATGTCATTTCATGAACAGAGTCACCAAAACAGAGACAACTACATGACACCTCGGTCTGCTCGCCAAGCTCTCCTTCCACCTTTACCTCCCGGGTCCAAAGGTCCGTACTCAACAGCAGCAGACCCTTCACAGTATAATAGGACAAGAACAAATTCAAATACAAGTGTAAAGGTATGTATTATGGCAAAGTAATTTGGGTTTCCTTTTAAAATACTGCTTCTGTATTTGAAATAGCAGTGATCTACACCTTTTGGGTATTTCCCCAAAGTACTCTCTCTACCTATACCTGACTTGAATAGTAGTAAATTACTTCAAAGCTGGTTTCACTTTGGTGTTTCATGATTCTGTATTTGTTTACTTTTTCTATTCACTTTTTAAGAATCCACCTCCTCTCCCTCCTCCTCGCCTGGAACCTATCAACCCTATTTATTGCGACAAAGGAAATCCTACCTCCCAGGTAAGGTATTTTTTTAAGTTCCTCTTATATTTTTATTACCATTTTGATCAGATTACGTTCTCACCAGATAATTCCAAGTGTGTTTCTTTTCCAAATGCTGTAACCATATTTTAAATTCTAGCATAGAGACAACAGAAACAGACATGGGCCTCGATCGCATCTCTATCACAGTACCTCAGTGTTGGACCTGTCAAGCGAAACGGTAGGACGGTGCTACTCATTTCCTAGACAAACACAAAAGGGTATTTACTGTATTTTTTGGACTATAAGCCGCTATTTTCCCCCCACGCTTTTAACCATGCGGCTTGTAGCCTGGTGCGGCTTTTCTGTGAATTTTTCTTCAACCACCAGGGGGCGCTTTAGCAGGAAGTGAATCATTGGAAGTCAAAAATGGAAATCAAAGAAGAAAGCGCTACTTTTCAATTAGAACAAGCACTTGCTAGCAGCAGGCACAATGGAGAAATTTCTTCACACTCATAAAATGCAGAGATACCAGCGGTTTATAGTATGGTGCGCTCTATAGTCTGGAAAATACGGTAGTTAAAAGAGGTGCAGCTATTTTTTATCGGTTTAATTCACATCGTCTTGATGTTTGAATTAAAGCTTTGAGGTCAGCTTGATTGATATAATGCCTTTATTTAGTCCACTGTTACCCCAGTCAAATTCTCTATGCAGAATTTTTCAATTGCAAGATGTTTTTTAGTCAATTTGTTGATTTGGCAATATGTGACTTTGGCCATTGACTCCAGATCATAACACATATGGCACAATGCGTCAGGGTGGATAAAACTTATTTCTCTAGTTGTCTTTATCCATCCATCCATCCATTTTCTGCCTCTTATCCGGGGTCGGGTCGCGGGGGCAGCAGCTTCAGAAGGGAGGCCCAGACTTCCCTCTCCCTAGCCACTTCTTCCAGCTCCTCCGGGGGAACCCCAAGGAGCTTTTTGACCACCTCGGCGTTGTCTTTAGTCAAACATAATGTTCTCTCTGCATCCAAACAGCACTTTGGCGGATAATATTAAGATATTTGCTCCAAAGCCCATCCTCACCAATGAACTTTCCTACATTAATTTACATCACAACTGCAGACTTTAGCTTTTCTGATGGAATTTTGTGTGACTGGTCAATAGAAAGTCAGAAATGTTAATTTATTGAACTCACCTTTCAACTGCTGTTGATTTTCTGAATTTTAGCTGTTGTTTGAAAGCGTCAGCATTACTGAGAAAATGATACTAATTACTTTGACATCAAAGCTGAACATTGAATCCATTGTGGTCTATTACAGAGCAGTGAAACATCGTCTTTGTACGACCCTGAAATTGAACCTTACTACACTTCAGGATCATCTCTATACACTGACAGCGTGAACCCTCACTACACAAGAGTTTTACCGGATGATTATTACGACAGGGTAAGAAACTGTTTCCACTGACCTCAAAAAAGCCATAGGTTGCAAAACTCAGACAGAAATACATTTTACTCATTTGTCTATTTATCTGAAACATTATTAGCCACGGACACAAGCTCGTTATGAAGACAATAGCCTGAGCATCTACAGTGACATATATCAACTCTCTCAAGATGTAAGTTATTAAGTAGTTTTTCTGTGCTGGAGCTGAACTGAGGCACGTTTTAATTACCTACCATTTCTTGCCATTGTTTTTGACTAAAATAATAATCTGTTTCCTGTAGGATGTCACTGAGCTGCTGCACTGGTTTAAGAGAGTATCTAGTAAGTACATCTTTACAGATAATTGTTATGTTGTCCTGTGGCTAACGGTAATAAACTGTGTTGGTTCCTTTTGATTTAAAAACTACACAAGAATTTTAATGATGTTACATAAAATGTTATAAACCAATCAATCTGACAGTTCATTAAAATCAATCATTTGTTTTGACACCCTGCTCCTCATTCTGGATTAAGAACTTGAAAAAAGTTAAGCATGTCACAAATGAAAACGCAATGTCAGAAGGCTGTCGGTCATTGATCGTCTGGTCAATCAATGACGGATTGATTTACCGATTGTAACCAGTCGTTCTGTGTCACAAGAACGACTTCCTTCAATAATCCGATCAGCCATTTTTAAAAATTCACAATAGTCACTGAGTCTGACAAACAGCCAGAGACTGAGCAAACTGTTCAGTATAGCTTACATGATGTCCTCCACTGTCTCGTTAAGTTTGTGTCATGTACAGATCTCATAGCTCTACCTTTTTGGCTCTGGTGTCACCCAAATTTATGATAAACCCACCCATCAGATGTTAGTCAATTGTAATGGAAAAGCAACCAAACTGTTTGAGTAGAGTTGAGCCTACTCAAGTCTAGCAAATAGGTCTGCTTGTACCTATTTGGCCTTATTGCTATGAGGAAGACGCAGTGTAATTGATCAGAAATATTCAAATATTGTATCTAATCTGTTTGCATGTATTCTTTCCAGGACAAACTAACACCCTGTCACTGTTTGGCCTCAGTATGGAGGATGAAATGAGGTAAGAAATTCAAACTAGCAACTTCCTTTCCTCTGCTCTTACGGCAGCAGAGTATTGTTTTCATACACCTCCGTTGTCTTCTCCTGCAGAGCCTTCCATCAGCAGGCCATGCATGTGAGAAAAGCCCGGCGCCTCTACCACCTTCTCATGATGAAACGCAGGGATCACCTACAGAAGATCCTCGAAGAGTTCAAGGCCATCTGTGAAAGACTGGAAAAAGTGCAGAAAACAAATAAAACCATGGGAATAGCTGGTGGCACAACAAGTGCAGTCGGAGGCGTGGCCGCAGTGGTGGGCATCGCCTTGGCCCCTGTTACCATGGGAACCTCACTGATCGCAACAGCTGTTGGGGCTGGCATTGTCGCAACATCGGCAGGAGGTTTCGGCGCGAAAGTCGCCAAAGCCAACAAGAAGATTGTGAACAGGGAGACAGTCGAGAAGCTTGTGAATGACTACAAGTCAGACGTTGCCGACCCGGAACGTTGCCTGAATTACATCCTCTGTCTGATGAAGGAGCTGCAAAGACACAACATTGGGGAGCTAAGCAGGGCGGGAGCGCACCCAGACGCGCTGAGGATGGCGGATCTGTCCAACAACCTTTACAACAGCAGGCAGATGTCTCCTAACAACCCTGGAGGGGTGACGTCTGAAAGCATGCTTAAGCAATTCGAAATGGAATTTGATGAGTATTTCACGGAAAAGAAAGGTCAGAAGCTGAACAAGTCGAATAAGAGCAAGTTTTCAGGCAGAGTGGGCACTCTGGTTAAAAACCTGCAAGAGGAACTGAATTATCTGACTCAAATGTGGGAAACATTAACTTAAAAACAGATTACTGTGTTTGTGCCTGTGAGTGAAGGATACATATTTTAAATGTGGTAATTTATTGATAACAATTAGCCAATAATTTCTTATATTTAATTAACACAGAGCAGCATTATTTTTTTGATGCATTGTAGTAATTTGCTCTGAAACTGTTGTATTATCAAAGACTAGTTAGTAGATACAACTCTAATATGCTAAACTTGTATATAACTAACTTATACTGTATATTTTAGCCTCATTCTTTCAGAACAAATGATGTGTTAGTCATGACTGAACTGGTTCTATCTACTTTCCAAAAAGAATGGAGTTTGGAGTTATTTTTTCTTCCCTAGTCAGCGGCTAGTTTATGTAGGTACTACAGGATGTTAGACCCATAGTGGAGCAAAAATGTAAATTAGTTTGAAAATAAGCCAAGATCAACCTGTTATGTCACACAGCGGAGTGCAAAAAGAAAAAACTTGGATTGAGCCATCATAATAAAAAGCATGAGGTTGTACAGTCACAGTTAATTAATCAAGTTTTATGGTTTTATTTTAAATCGGGGTTTGAGGTCAAAATCCAATGAATTATTCAAATATAATATAACTGTTTTGGTATGTGTGCATAGACATTTTTTTGCTAAATCCGACTATTGCCAATTGTTACAGATAGTGTAACATGTCAACCTTCCTTCAAACTGTGTATTCTGTTTTGAAATATGTAAATCTATAAATCACTGTAAGTTATAAATCACATACCATGTTAAGTTATCAAAGTAAATCATTAAAAGATTCCGTTATTATACATTTTTTTTCAGCTGGCATGGGGCTAGTGTTTAGCAAATCTTGAGTTAAAATATCACAGTTTCACTCTCTTATTAAACAGATTTGAAATAAAAATGGTGGCTCTATTATTTAGTTTCCACATCTTGACAGTGAAGGTTGTCCCCTGAACAAATCAAAACAACTCCGACTGATCTCCTGCTGGTAGATAATATTTATTGCATGATATTTCCTCACAGTAGAAGATGCCTTTCGATTTTTGGATGTAAAAGGAGGTATGTCTGTGATTTAGAAATACCTGCTAATGGTTAGTATGAAATATTTTTTTTTATCAATCTTTCATGTACTATTAGTTAATCAGAAAGAACATGACAAAGGAAAGACCAAACCCCAGGAGTTGCATCCATCGTCTTCCACTTTCAGGAGGAAAGCCCAGACATTTCTCTTCTCTGTGATATCATTCAGTTTATTCTAGGGGACCAGACTCTTTTTGACAAGAAGAAGGAGATCTGCTACTATTTGTTCCGTCCTGTTGATGTAGAGCAGGGGTACCCAAACTTCGGCCCGCCTCCACATTTGGTCCGACCCCCTGAATAATACCAGAGAGCGTTCAGATTTTTTTTTTCATTTATTGTATTTTCCGGTTTATATGTGGATTTTTCTTCAACCACCAGGGGGCTCTTTAGCTGTGGGTGTTTTGTTTTGCATGGCGCATTGCTGCCATCTGTTGGACTTTTAGGGAACTGCTTGACTTCTATATTTAATCAGTACGGTTGTTTGCTAGCGGTAGAGCAGATGAACACACGTGTCTGTTATGAACGCCGCATTCCAGGTTGAATTCTTCGAAGCGATGCCTGTAAGTAGCAACTAATACTTCAAAACGAGCCTTTATGTTAACATATGAGAAATTAATATGTTAAAGTTACATTCCCTCAATGGAATATATACTAGTCAGTCCCAGTGACCGTTTCACTCATGGGTTTTGCCCATGTGCTTTCTGGGTAAAAGTCAATCGAGAAATGCACCCCCCGCCCCCCAACAAACTCCCCCCCCCCCCCAGAGAAGGGAAAAATTATCTGGCCCTCACAGGAAAAAGTTTGGGGACCACTGATGTAGAGTAATTGGCTGAGCTTAGAAGTCATCACTGATAACTGGCAGTGGTGGAGAAAGTACTCAAAAAATGTACTTAAGTAAAAGTACAAATACACAGACAAAAATGTACTCAAGTAAAAGTACCACATTAACATTTAATTAAGTAAAAGTTAAAAATACTGGCTTTTAAAAATACTTAAGTATTAAAAGTAAAAGTACTTGCTGAATAATACCTAATCGTTAATATCATTAAGTGAACTGATCGTATTTAATTTTAATACATCAGTAATGTGCCATTTTAATGAACAATGCCACAGATAAAACATGCTTTCAT